TATCAATTTTATAGTGTTTTATTTATATTTATTACATATATCGGTTCTTTAATGAACACATGTCAAATACAATAAACGTTAATTTATGTAAACAGAAATTGTTTTGTTTCTGGTTTGCAATTCTGAATTTTTCTTTTTTTTTTTTTTGCGAGAAAAATTCGGAAAATAAATTTCAACTCAGTATATATATATATTTTTTCAGTCGCCTATAATTTAATAAATATTTTGCCTCTATATTTAATTTTATTCGCCACAGATAGATATTGTTTTTATTTTCTATTTTGATCTGATTTATCATTAGATTACGTATAACATTGTTTTGGTTGTTTCTATGTGCGAGCAGCTAATTCGTGAACACTTGTCCGTTTAAACAAATGGTGCGTAAAATTAAAATTTGTTGGAAAATATATATAAGAATAAAAAATTATTACCATAATTACGAAATAAAATTGCAAACGAACATGAAAAGGAGGTTTTCTTCCTTAATTGCACTAAATAAATTCGCTGAATATTTGCAAAAGTCCTCCTCTCCTGACTGGGTTCAGCGGTTCACGTAAAAAAAAAGTACTGCAGAAATGGCTTTGTCTGAATTCTAGCAATCCCAAGAGATTGCATAATGAACAAATTTTGTAGAATTTTTCGGTTAATTTGCGAATTCAGGTGACCGTTGGAATGTCTTATCGTAAATTTTTGTATTAATTAACCAGTAAATAACTAAGTGCACGTAAGCAAAAATGTTGCGCAAATCAATTCCTCGAAATGCTGTATAAACTTAATTTTGGCATCCCTACGAGTATATTAATCTAAGATCTTTAACAGAGTAAGGTCGAGAACGCGTCATGCAGCCGCTCGCAATATGCACAAAGTACAGCAAATAAATTGAAATTCAGAAGATAGTAGGCTTGAATCTGAGTTCGATATCTCATTAATTTTAAAAGTAGCGAATAGTAAATAAAAAAGATAAAAAACAAGGATGAATGAGCAGCAAAGGATTAAAACAGAAATAAATAAAGTAAAATAATTTGTAGGATAAGTGAAGAGTGAAAAATGTTCCCAAAATTCTTATAACGCCCACCTCCTCGCCCGCAGACATGATTTGAAGGAAACTCTAGCTCTCAAGGAGATTTTCTCATATTGACGAGGCTTGAAGAGGTAGAAATGAAGACGTCATCGGCTTGACTAAAATGCCTGCCACAAAATTTAGCTGCCAGTAATGACATTAAGCAAAAACAAAAAAATAAGATTATGATGAACAAGAAAACCAATACAAAATCTGAGTATTAAAATTGCAAAGCATGTGTGTGTGTGCGTGTTTCGAAATCTTCACGAATTATTTTAGAGCAGGCAGCGCATTATATAAAAATCAATTTTTTGTATTTTGTATACCCACCACAGAGATATCTCATATGTTTGTCAACTTGTCGCTTGTAACACCGCATAGAAATCTATAGGGAGGTGGCAACAAAGCCGCCATTGGAAATTTGCATTTTTTTTTCTTTTTTTTTTGGTTTGAATAACAGAATAGATGTAGTCATGTCTATTAATCTGTCTGCTGTCTGCTGTCTGCTGTCGAAACCAATAGTGCCATAGAACAAATTTATTTCGTAATTAAGAAGCCAGCAAACGATTGCCAATTCTTTTTTCTTCGCGTTAAAACATTCTCTGCTAAGGTGCGCATATGAATCAATCGATTATGGGGCGCCCTACGGCTGTCCATAATTGCCAGGAAATCGTATACATTTTCGACTTTGAAAAGTTAGCAATCAATCAATTATGTTACGGTATGCATCAAATATGAATTGTTCGTTGCGGCGAGAGTCGGTAGTGGGTATAAAAAAATTCGCCCAAGGACGAAAAACACTTTTCGCTTTTGGTTTTTTTCTTTTTTTTGTTTTTTATTATTAAATTTGTTCTAAAGAGAATTACAACCGCTTTTTGTTTTTAATTTCTTCGTGTATGTATGTATGTATATGTACGCGTTTTAAGCAATCAAACGAAAAGAAAAACTAAAGAATGAGAAGTGATTTGTTAAAGGTTGGCTAATTCTGGCGTCTATAGCTTTCTATAGGTATTATTGCACCTATTTTCATCTTAATATTTTTGCAATATATATATATGTGTATATATTGATAATAGCTGAACATAAATTCAAATAAATTTTTTTTTGTTTATTTGTACAAATATTCATAAAACTGACTAAAATCTAGGGTCGTTGTTCATTGAAGTTCTCTTGCGTGTGTGATTATTGATTATCAGTTAATTTCTTCACAAACATCGTTTACTATTAATGTAATCGTAGTAAGCTCGCACTCACCGTTATTTTTTGTTGCACTTAACTATGCGCTATATTGTATAACATATAAGTTTTCTAAAGTTACGTTAAATTCAAAATTCAAAGTTGTGTATATAATAATAATAATAATAATAATAATAATAACTATTGCAATGTTTGTAACACTTTTCAAAACCCTCCTCTTTCGCTTACGGAATATGCACTTAGCTCCTATTGTTTTTAACAAAAAGATCTATTTTTTATCTGTTTTTATTTGTTTTTTTTTTGTTTTTTTTTTTTTTTTTTTTTTGTTTAAAATATCTTATATATATATATATATATATATATATATAATTTTTTTATTCGTTATAGTTATGTGTATACACATCATTGAACAAAAGGCCATCAAATTCTACATTAAAATTTACTTTTAAAATTTTATTTTAGTTTTCAAAAAAATGATTTAACGATCTCCGTCCTGGTTTTTGCTTCATTGAATATATTTTTAAATTTGAATAAAATTTTTTTAGGGGAAAATTTTGAAACCGTAATTGAAAAAGTATTTTCCCTTTATCACTACGTATCGATTCTGAAAGATTTTTGGAGAGTTAAAACAAATTTTTCAAAGGGCAATTTTTGAACGCATCGCTAAGACGTTTTTTAAATTTAGCTGCAAATAAAAAATGATTTATATAAATTCGCAAAAGTTATTCAAAGCAAAAGCATTATACAATCATTATAAATTGCAAGGTTAGGGAGAGTGAGAGTTTGTTTTTGGACGACAGACCTGGGATGTAATTCGTTTATGGCGTCTGTGTTCTCTCTCGTGAGTTGTAATATTTTTCCAAAGTGTGTTTTAAGATTTTTACAACTAAAACAATATCGTTTAAGTGCAGCATTATGTGATTGATAATCATACGTTATTGTGCCTTCGCATAGAGAGGTGTTGATCTTAAACCTGCATTGACAAATGAATGTTTATCTACGTATCGTCCATTTCGTCCATTCTCGTCCCCCCCTCACACATTTCTTCGATGCAGACTATACTAAGAGTTCTTAAGTAACCAATAGCATAAACGCAAACCGGTATTAGTTTAAGCATAAGACGGACATGAATAAATTGGTTCGGAATTTCACGCTGATATCATCACGATTCGACGCGAAAAGCGTCGAAACTTTACGCTCCATTATTATAATGCTTGCGTCGTCACTTAGCAATATTGCCAATAATAGATTCGCATTTATCGTACAATAACAAAAAAAAAAACAAGTTGTTTGGATAGATTTGTGAAAAATATTCCGCAGACTGTACACATCTTTATATACTATCATATGTCGTTATATATAATAAATGCAATTGATTTTCATATTTGCATTATTAATTTAATTTGTCTCTTTAAGATACACATACATACGTACCAATGTGTGTGTAATTGAGTTTATTGGTGAGGTAAACTATTTACAAATGTTCCATAACCAACCACAACCACCTGAAATTATAATACAGGGCTCATATACAAAAATGATAACTTACCCTTAGCTAAGCAAAACACAAAAACATACAACCATACGTACATACACATATTTATAAACGAGAAGAAAGCTACTCATAGTTTAGTAACAGGGAAACAAGATTAAATTCATAGCCAACATACATACATACATACGTAAGTTATACATCATAATAATCAGGTTATTTTTTTTTTTTGTTTCACATTTTTAGAGACATTCCGTAAAATAAGAGATAATTAAAGGCCTCTCTAAAGTAGGCAGCTATTTTGTATTGTATATGCTGTAAAATTGATAGTTAATTCATTCAAGGAAGGCGAGGCATACACACACACACACACACACACGGTAAACACGCAAACACACATACACACACACACTCATGTATAAATTCTACGAGAAGGAGAGACAGAAATAGAATGACAAGACAAAGAGGTTAGAAAGTTGGATAAGGAGGTGGAGAGAAAATGAAGGCAAGTGAAAAGGATAAAAGAGAGAGAGAGAGAGAGGAAGAGAGAGAGAGAGAAAAAGAAAGAGAGAGAAAGAGAGAGAGAGAGAGAGAGAGAGAGAGAGAGAGAGCGAGCGAGGCCAAGCATTATAAGCAAGCAGGCGTCAATTGTTGTTTGATATTTCCTAGCAGTTTTTCAATGTATGAATGAATGTCTTTTATGAAATTGTATCTGTTTGTCCAAACACCATATATCATTGGAATAAAATGCTGAGAGGTTTCAAGTTTTTATATAATTTTTTTATTGAGTTTTTTTTTTTTTTTCATCTGTTCTGTTATAATTATTCAATTATTAAATTTTTCAAAGTAACAATAATTAAACAACATCATTATTTATAGCATTTACTTTTTTGAAATTAATTTTTTTCTTTTTTTTCTTGGTTTTGCCTCCTTTTTTTTCTTCTTGATTTAGTGTCTTGTATATAACATGGTTTCCTTTTGAACATAATTTATTTATTGGTTTTTTTGTTAATTCTGGTTTATTTGCTTCTTCTTTTTTTATATATTATATTTTCATTTTATTGTTGTTGGTTTTTATTGTTGTCTTTATAAATATATAATTTGTTGTTTTTACATACATATATACATATATACATATATATATATATATATATATGTCCCTATGATTATTATTTCATCGTTAATAAAAGACAGCTAAACTTTATCTTCTCTTTTGTTTGTTTATTTAGTTTTTCATTATTATTATTTTTATTTTATTCATTTATTTATTGATTTTTTTGTTTTTTTTTTGTTTTTGTGTTTTGATAAAACTTCTCTTCTCTGTAAATTGGAAAACAACAACAATTGTAATAACAAATTTTTTTGAAAACAATTTTCAATAATAATTTTAAATAATTATTTATTGTAATTTATTAAGAGATTAATTAAAATGTTATAACATAAAGTTAAGCTGCTTTTTATTAAACACAGAGCAAAAAACCTATAAAGTGTTTTTCTTGTTCTTTTTTTTTTTGTTTTGTTTTAAATAATCTTTTAATAAACTTTAATCCTTTGTTTAAATCACTTTTATTACCATAATATATATCATTTCCATCATTAAATGGGCTTCCAAGTTTTTCTATATAACATTTAAAAATATTATTTAGAATTTGGCTTGATTTATTATATTTAATTCGGTTGGTTTGCGTTTTAAGTATTGTTTTTAAGTTTTTTTTCATTTTATATATATTTTTTTAAATTTTTGTATATATTATTGTTGCTGTTATTAAATTCAATTCAATAATAAAATTATTTTGTATATAATATTTATAGAAACCAAAAACACACAATTGAGGTTATGTTCTAAGTGTCTTCCAGAGATGGGAAGCTATGAAAGCGAAAATAAATTATAACACTTTTAAAAAGAGGAAGGGAGTAGTGCAAAGACGAAGAGAAGAGATTGTTTTTTTTTTTTTGTTTTTTTTTTAAGAAATATGGTTGTTAGAGAAAGCAATAAACGAACTACGTTATATATATGTATATATTACTCTGTATTCTTTAACTTAGATAAATGTAAGATTTGTTAACTAATTTTTATATGAACTGATTTTATTTACTTAATATATAGATTTAGGAATTTTTGCTGAATGAAGTGCTACTTGCACCCGAATCACGTTCGAGTCATTCTAACTGACGATTTTTATATGGTATTGTGGGACGAAGAAGAGATTAAAGAGAGGAAAGAGAGTACAGAGGATCATGTATTTTGAATGCATTCGTCACTTAAGGAATGCATCAAAACTCATTGGTTAAAGCGTTTTTGGGCATTAATGTCTATACAAATATCAGGCAGTTCTCTATAAATTGCGATCCATAGAGAAATAATTTTGGTTTGGTCATGAAAATGTTCATTTAGAGTGTGCTGTGTGTGGAAAGCGCGGACGGTTAAACTTAGTTTATTTACTTTGGTGATCTTAATTGAATCCTGCCTTTTATCCATCGTCATTCAATGAATAGAATGAGATATTGAGAAACGAAATGCCCACAAACTTGCCCTTAATCCGTTAAAGTCATTATAATCGTATCAAATCGTATATCGGCCTTGCATGTTCCTTTTTCTATGAAACGCCGATAACAATCGAATCCGTTTCAATTGCAAATACTGCGTCTGGTCTTTGTCTTTACGCCAGTGACCAGTTGCCATCCGGAAATAAGAAATTCAGCATAATCGAAGTGATTGCCTATTATAGTATTGCACATAACCTCAATTGTCAAACAATAAGAAATACGATTGGTTACGAAATTACAATGTCACGTTCATTATAATATATAGTAAATACAAAACTTGCTTAATATCAAGAATTAATAGTGCAGCTATGTGCCGCCTGGAAACTGTATTACGCATGAAGGATTGCTTAAACGAGCCAATTTGCACGTAACTTAGTACAGAGCTTAGAGTAAAGAATTTAGAAGTGAGAGTGACTGCAGCAGGTATGCGCACCTATTCCACTTATAGAAGTCTTACGTAAGAATTACTTAATTGCTCTCTTTGCACTCGGGGGAGCTAAGAAAACTAAAGCAGAGAATTGGTCTAAATGGGATTAATTAATTTTTTAATTAATACGAATACAGTCGTCATGTCTTTTTTCTAAACAATTTGTTATAAAACTTGTGGAAATCTTTGATATGAAACAAATGGTGTTTGTTTGTCAGTTTTTGTTATAAACACATACGGCTGCTTGGTATTAGAAAATAATTGCAAGGAATCGTCATCTGAGCCCAATATCTGGTAGAGTAATTTTTGAGTAGCAAACAAAAATGCCCATCTCCCATAATTGAGAATTAAACATTTTATGAAACAAATTTCAAATATGGTGGACATGCATGGATCTGAGGATTCGTCGAGAAAGCTCCAGATATCGTAAAGTATACCTTTTGCGTCTCCGCGTTTACAGTTCTAGAATTGGTCGATGTACATGGCTAGTACAGTTTGCCCTCTAGCTCGGTAGGCACAAAAGGACGAAAGAGTACCTTACATAATTCTTTTTTTTGCTTTTGTTTTAAAATTACTAAAACTAGTTCTCATGCAATGAGATTTAGAGCAGTACATAAGTAGTACATATATATATGTACATTTTTTTAAAATTTTAAATCAAAATAAATTTTAATTTCTGAAAGTTTTCGCAACTCTTTGCAAAGCCCAAAAAAAAGGCTCAAACTCGTTTACAGTTCGTTCCTAAGACTTAAATAAAATTTAATTTAATTTGATTTGTTAAATGTTGTTGTACCCATTATGTGTAGTTATTGTAATTGTTGTTGTTTTTGTTGTTGTTGTTGTTGTTGTTGTTGTTGTCATTGATGTTTAGTTTTGTTTGGAAAAGTGTTTCGACATCGATCGCACATTGAGCAGAACGTAGACGTAGGCATAGTTAGTGAAATAGAAAAATTAGAGTAAGAAAGAGAAAAAGGAAGAAAAAGAGAAACAAAGAAGTAAAAAGCCAGTTTTAATTAACGTAACGGTGGTTTAGTTTGGAGAAAGCATTGAAAATATATTAAAAAAATACTTAAAAATATTATATAATTTTATATACATACACACATATGTATATAATTTATATATATATATATATAGATATATATATATATCATAATATATTTTTATTTATATTTATTACACGATTGTAAACAACTTATGCCTGATATGTTCGAAAATTATAAAACATGCCGTCTTTTTCTATTGTGTACATATATATCTATGTATACACGTGCATTTATATTTTACATATATACACATATATTATATTTATATGTATATGTATATATAAATTTATTATATTAAATAATTCTTTTACTTTTATATATACATAGCTTGATTTTATTTAAATATTTATTATTATGTATTTATATACATATTTATATATTATATATATTGTTAGTTTAATATACATTTGTAATAATATATTGCTGCTCTTTGTTGTAAAATATTTCTTTTCTTTAAGTAAAATTTTAAAATAAATTCTCTGGTTTTTTGTTTAATTAGTTTCGTTGATATTTATAGCTCTGAACTAATTTTAATATAATTCCTGAAAACAATTTCTATTTGCCTTTTGCAGGTGAAAGGGGAGGGGTCTCTTGGTATGGATTTCCATTTCCACTAGATTTATTTATTGCTTTTGCTACACATTTTCACTGTTTGCTTCTATCTAATGTGAACTCACTTAAATAGAACAGAATGCCGTAGTAATAGGTTGCATCTGAAACTGGAAGTAAAAACTGCCCTCGCAATGTGCTAAGCTTAAGAATGGCATGAGACTATTTAAAAGCCTTTACTTTTAGAATATCCGACTGCCACTGACAATGCACCTCTGTCTTTGTTCATGTGATTAAGTTTTTTACCCCCTACCACGGTAAAGAGTATATGATGGTCGACCTCGCAAAGCGATATTCAGAATTTGATCGCAATAGGGTGTTTACATGTCATAATGGAAATTTAATCACACATCAGAATACTGTTCGTTCATCAAATCTATGCGGTGGGTCTGTAGAACAATTACCTAACATTTTTATCAGTTTACCGATTAGGCAATAAACGCCATCGTTAAATTTGTAATGCTTCCGGTTTTGCATGCTAATACGTCAATCAAGATAATTTGCACGATTTTTTATTACTACAATAAAAAACTTTGATGCGGATCAACGAACCGAATCGTGGAGAAGTAAGAATTGCCAAATTGACGGAATATGATCGACGCCGATTATATAAATTGCTCACAAAGATGCTTACTTATAAGGCTGTACGCTACGCATTTTGAACACACTTGCACGCATTTAAACCGTTGGCAAAAAAGTAATTGAACAAAGCAATTTTTACAGTTAGTCAGTCAGACGCTGTGGCGCGATCACAAATGCAACCAATCTTCGCGATTGCCAAGATCAGTTGGTTCAATAAGAAAGTAGATCGTTTCTCCCCATTCTAGATTGAAAGCAAATTATGAAAGTTACCGCCGTTAGGAACATATTCGCGTCTCAATAAATCTCGAATAAATGGCTTTACACACACGAGTAGGATGACCACAATTTCGAATCACCTCACGATGCTAGGTGGATTTTGTTTTTTGTCGATTATAGAAAAATCCGTGTTTGGAAGTAGGCGCCCACTTAACCAGAGACGTCGCCTTTGTAACGACGCCTTCTTTAATTTCCTATTAGTCGGCAGTAATTTTCTTAAGACTTGGTAATAAATGCTTGATGGTATTAATGGATAACTAAAGAATCTACGCAGGGAGTCACGGCACATTTACTCACTCAAAGAATTGATATACGCTTCACCTGTTCCTATAACAATATTTAGTTAAATATGATTAGCTATCACTGAGGAGGGCATTCATCGTGGCCGTTCTATCTCCTCGTTCCTCGGTTGACTAATGCATACTTTGTGGATTATCCCATCTCCCTCTTAATCCGAAATATGCTTTTAATCACACAAACTTCATATCCCAACTTAAGGTTTTAATAACCCTTCGTGGAATAATTCCAAACCATATATAATAATACAATAAGCCTCAAAATAGTAAGCAACAGAGAGATATCGAACCTATAAGCAGATGTTAAGTCAAACTGATACGATTTGTCTTCGTCGCGTTAGTAACAGTACTCAGGACATGTCTTCTGTGGTCATTTTGCGAAGTGCTTTTAAGTCAACACATACTCTCAGAGCGGGTTGCGGATTGGCTACAACTAAAGGATGACTTATCCTTACGCAGAAATATATGAAACATATATGAAAACATAAGCGAATTGTTTGTTTGCAATAAATCATATTTTCCGTAAGGTGCCCAGCTTACATTACCACTTTCCTAAACATTCGCTAGTAAAGCAGGATTTACGAAAGAAAGATTTTTCCCGCAAAAACACATCTGACCAAAAATTTATATTTCCTTAACTAACATAATTTATCATATACTACTATTGAATGCAGTTGAATTGTTAACAAAGGGTTTTATTAAATATTTTCACTTTCTGTACAATTCGCTACAAAAGCATTCGGTTTACATTTTCAGATCAATTATCGTTATCCGCACTGAAACTATTACGGCTTTATGCCCGAATTCGCTCTTGCTAAAAACCGAAGACAACTGCTTTTCTTTTCAACTTTATTTTGTTGTTGCTATTGACTAAATAAAGAAATAAAAAAAAAAAAGAAGAGGATTTTTAAGAAGAATTTTTCAACTATTTTTTATCACATATTTGCTTTAATTCTTTTTATTATTGAATTCTTTTAACTTATCTCACATAAGTATATATGGGTATGTAAGTCTATTCACAAAAGGCTGTTTGAGAAAGCTGCTTTTATCTTTGACTAACGCTTAGCTGAACTTGGAACGCATGTATATAACTGACTATATATGCATCTTCGTATGCATGATCATAAATAACGATTGTCCGGCAACGATAAAACAGTTTGGAAACATTCAATTTAGGAGAGGATGTGACTTGGAAAGAGGCAAAAAACCCTTAAATAATTCGTGAAATTCGTGAACAAAGGAAACGTTCAGAAATTGATGATATATCTGCCAAGCAGGCGAAGCAGGCGAGTTGCAGTCAAAAAGAAGGGCAAGGGAAAGAAGCGAAAACCACAAAAGGGCTATAAGTTAAACAAAGTTCCATAACTAAGATATATATAACTTGAGAAATGTTTTGATGATAGGTGGGCCTATAAGTGGATCGATGCAGGTCAGATTTTTACACCAAATATTTATAGAACTACGGACAAATACTACAAATTTCGAATCTTTCCATAGATAAATGCTACTGGGAAGCGAATTGAAATGAACTCGAATAGCTCGATACGCACGGATTTCACTCCTTTCCAATACTAATGGGGTCATGCAGTAGATGAAAGCATGGGTCCTTACTACGGGCTATGAAAGAGTTCCAAGAATGAGTCTGCAATAGTTGACCCAGAACGCGACGAAAAATTGAGTGCAAGCATTTTTTGTTGTTGTAAAGAGCATTAAGAGCTATCGAGTTGTGCACCCGAATAAAGCGAAAAAAACTGCCTCTCCAAAATGAAGTGAATTTGATTTTGGAGCTTCTCGTGTTCCCTCAGTTTACGGTTATGCGAATCTAAAGAATTCTCTTAAATAACATTTGACGTAAGTAAATGAAATCAAAGATTCATTGGCACATTGTTATAACTCGTATATGTAGTAAAGTTTTTAGATTAAAGTAAGAAAGTTTGGATTGTTTATAAGGTAAATAAATACGTGTAGCAGGTATATAGAGCTATAAGTTAACATAAAAATAATAATGAATTTTTACATTAATTAGATATGAGAATTAAGTCAAAAAAATAGTAGATTTAAGTATAAAGTTATATGTTTACTTACATTTTTGCTGACAATGGATCATTTTGAACGTTGTTGGCGAATGTTAGTTGGTGTATGGTATTTGAATCTCTCTCACACACACACATATACACAGAGGCGAAGGAGAAAAGTATATATAGATTGAAAAGAAGACGATTAAGAAAATTGAAAGAAAATTAGAAAATTAGGTTATAGCGAAAGTCAGAGAAATAGAAAGACTCACGGATAGGAAAAGAGAGAGATAAAGATATGAAGAAAGGAAGAAAGATAAAGAAAAGAAAGAGAGACGGAAGAGAGAATAAGAAAAATGTCTTGTATAGTATATAGAAGGGAGAATATAAAAAATTAGATCAAAGAGTGATATATATATATATATATATATTTTTTTTTTTTTATTTTTTTTTTAATTTATTTTTTTCGGAGCAATTGCTGGCGATGTGTAGTTTCTTCGCCTTGACGAGTTATGAAACAAGATTTATGAGAAAAGAGAGCATGTGGGTGGTGGTGATGGATTTCACTACACTCGTTTTTATTTACCGCCATGCTTGTTGAACATTAAATGATATTATTTTTTGTTTTTTCTTTTTATCCCAAAGAACACTTAAATCTGGGATTTGTTTGTAAAAACTACTAAATTGTTGTTTTAATGATTAATTTTTTATATTTATTATAATTTTTACTTTTTACTTTTTTTGTCTTTTGTTTTTACCCAAATATAAGTATATATATATATACATATATATATATATATATACGGTTTAACAGCCTAAGTAATGCTTTTTTGCTAATTTTTTTTTAATAAATATTTTTTTTAAATTATAATAATAATTTATTCAATTATTTAAACGTTTCAGTTTCTTGATTTTTATTTGAATTATTTTCAATTTTGTTTTATATTTATATTGTGATTTTCATAAATTTCATCTAAATGAAAGGCATTTTCGTTTTTTGTTTTCATTTTATATACTATTAGATAATCTTTCCTTTTTTGTTTTACAACTTCATCGCAGTACTTATTCTCTTAAGATCGGATTTATAGAAAGAGAATATACTTTTTTTACTTCTTTTTTTTGGGACTTTTTTTTTTTTTTTTTGAGAAAAGAAGAAGGAGAGAGAAAAAATGTTACGACTTTATTTATTTATTTACTCTTTTTTTTTTTTTTTTTTTTCTTGTCAACAATAAATGTTTGGGGATGACGTGGAGATGTAAACTGAAGAAGAACTATAATGTAACTGTGCAAGTGCATCGCGAGCGATGCCGCTGTATTTTTTAAGTGTCATATCTTAATAGGACTTTCAGACTTTTGCAGCAGTTTACATTGCATTAGTATTGAAATATTGCATTACACAGAATATTGAAAACGAAAACGAGAAACACTATTAATTAAATAGCCTAAAAAAATAACAATAACAATGATAATCACAATGACAATGACAATGACAAGGACTATGACGCTGACGTTGACGTTGACGATAGAGTAAAATTCCGTTTACTACAGATTTCAGAAAAAAACAAAGATTTATCTTAAAGTTGCTCTTGCTTGAAGTAAGCGAAATATAGTTATATAACTGTTGTGTTGGTTCCTCGCGTCGCGTTTAATTAAAGGTGAGTGTCTTCTTCTTGTTTTTTTGTTGTTTGTTTTTCAAGTTGTTCACATCGTCACAGTAATAAACTTATCCGTATCCGTGGTATACAGCAAGAGGTAGTCAAGAGAGTTCGTATCGTCGTTTGCTATCTTTTCAGAAATTTGAAAGAGGTGTAAAGAAGTGTGAGAAGAGGAGCTGAAGTATTTTGTATATACTTTATGGAAATTATCTATTACCGATTATATTGTTGTTGTTGTCTTGTTATATGTACATCTGCCATATATATGTATATACTTTTATCATTTAGTTAATTTTTGTATAGTTTACATTTTAAAGTACATATATAGATATATACAAGTACATATATGTAATAAGTATATATAAATATGACATTCAGCAGTTTGTTGGTTTATAAATTTTTAGCAACTTCCCAATGAGAAAATGAAGAATTTGACAAAAGCGTTTCCTCCCTTTTTTCGACTTGCTTCGTCTAACATTTGTTGTTGTTGTTGTCGTCAATGTTTGTTTTATTATTATTATTAATAATTGTTTTTTTTTCTCTTCGTTTTTCTTTTTTTTTTTTTTTTTGTATATTATTGGAAATATATATTTTTTTGTTTGTTTATTGTTGATGTATATATAGAGTTTTATATGTTTATTGAAATATATATATATAGGCATACATATATATATATACATGTATACATATATTTTGTTATTTCATTTGTTTGCTTCAACTTTATGTTATTATATTTAAGTGTGTATATATATATATATATTTTTCTTTCCTCTTTTTTTTTGTTTTGTTTTTTATATATAAATGTGAGAGTAATCTTTTCGTATGATGACATATCACTGCATGACACATTTTCCCTCTATTTGAGTTTTTAGCTCATTTACTTGCGTTTCTATTTGATTTTTCAGTTCTGTAAAAAGAAATTGAGTAATGGAAACAGCAATAAATAAGCATTTATAGTAGAGTTAACTACTACAATATTTGTGTTGTTGAACTTTTCATTCAGTTTGTAAATTTTCTGTGTTTGGTGTCATATATATAAACAAGCACCTCGAGTTAATCTTTTCTTTACCAATTCAGTCACATATGTATATATACATATATATAACATCAAGGACACAGTACACTTAATATACATATAATAAAAATGTATAGCCATACACATTTGCTTTTATCGACTTGGTGTGTTGAAAAAAAACCAACATTTACTAATAGCCAAAGGCGGTGTGTATAATTGTATTAAAGAGTCGAATAATTTCAATTCATTAAAAAAAATAACTAAAAAAATAAGTAAAACGACCATACTTTTGCTCTATTTACATGGTGTCTTTTATAAACTTGATGAATAAAATCAATTAAAACAAAATGTCAGTTTAAAAAAATTGAGGAGAAAAAGGAAAAAGATTTAATAGAAAGAAAAAAAATATAAAAAAAAAAATATGAAATACAATGCATTTTTAGCCTTTTAAAAGTATTAGTAAATAGTCGTGATTAATACACACATAGAGAATAGCAATAGTGGTTTTGTATATTTTTGTATGTATATATAGAAGAAAGAGAGGGAAAAAGCTTCTTTTCTGATGATAGATTCATTTACTTTCTTTTAACAATATCTTAAGCGTTTTTTTTTCTTTACTCTATTTTATACCTACGTAATTTTAAAATACTTAAACGAATCCTGCAACAACATAATATGCGAATAAAAACGTGCTTATGAGGCAAAAAAAATAAAGAGGTAGATAAATGACGTGATAATTAACCAAAGCGATATTTTATAAGAGCGGCATACAGATATTTTCTCTGAAATTCACAAACTGATTTCCGAAAAAATACATACTATATACGTATTGGTATACGTATGTAACACTTTCATGAAATTTACTCGTGTCTGCCTTACTTGCAACTTTGTCAAGTTTACGAAAATTCGTTTCAATGAGTGGTAGGAAGTGCGTGAATGCATCGATTTAGAATCGTAAACTGCAGGGGGTTCGTCTACAATCTTACGTACGTGTTGATACTGTTAGCTAATCGAGTAAAACTCTAAACCTTTGGTAGTGATTACAAAGTGCCTATGAAAGTCAGCACATCTTTCGCAAACACCCGAACCGCTGAACCCGCTTCATTCAATGGTAATTATAAATGCAGCCTTTAACTTGTTATTGGGGAAGACGGCAAAATGCCTTCATGTCGGTTGAAAACCTTTGAACGATAAAGGCTACTGCACAAAGATCTTTGATTGAAGATTTAATAATGGAACGGCACTGACTATAAGAGAAGCGAACAAGATTACTCGATTCGCAATTCTTGTTCGCCTTAAATGCTGAACCTTTATTACTGCAAAGATCGTACGGTACGATTAATTAGTACTTTTGCCATATGGGATGAAATATCTGGTTCCATTTGTCGGAATTAGTACAGTCATACACGAACAGTACGAACGAATAAACGAGTATGTTATATGCAGACAGATAATGGTATCATCTAAGCGAGTAAATCAGCTTTTGCTTAAATAATTCTTAAATAATTTCAACTCAATTTATGTAACGAAGAAACATTCATCATATCATTAATAAGAAAATGCCATTGAATTTAAGTTAACAGTGCAGCGTAAGGACAAAAAAAAAAAAACGGTTTGCCGCCCGTCATTACCATTAGCTGCGCTATTCCACGGCATTAATTATAATATAAATTTCAAGATTATCAAGTTGTTTTTACTGCACTTGACGAAGGAAATTGAAAAATTTCCAGTTTTTATATTTTATGTATGCACTACTCGGATATGCAATGTGAACGTGAGTTAGGCATTCTGTTTGTAACGCAGTGAACTCAGAGCGCAAATAAAGCATTCTTGAGAGTCTGTATGAATAGGGGCTGGAGTATGAATTGACTGAGCTGCTCTTTATCCTTTTAGTGCTTTTTCTATTACCACGAAACTGCAGAATTTCGAGAATGTTCTTCACGAAAATTGCTTGCATCGCACCCAGCTACAAACGCATATTCATTTTTTATGAGGAGTGGTCGAAATTCAAGCCTTCAAGGCAATAAAGCTCTCTCTTAATTTATTTTATATGCTACTTTCTTCAACAGCAAAAACGTAGATACCAGCTTAAATAGACTCTCTAAGAATATAAAATATGTTTAATTTATGCACATTCATTTACTAGACGACGGAATGAATGCAGGAAGAGAAAAGCGATATGTTTTTCGCTAAAAAGCCAAAAAAGTATCAAGAGAAATTAGTTTATTTGTTCATGTGTATATTCCCCACTTATTGTAAGGATCCTTTTGGTAATGTAAAAAAAGTCTCCGTGGTATGTGTTCCGCTTTTAAATGAAATTTCCCGACTAGAGTGTATTCTGCCCTTTCACATATACATTTTTTCCAAGAAGGTGAACAAAAAAAGCAAAAAAAGATAGAAAAAAAAGAGAGGAAAACCTTGTTTGCAAAAACATATTTTAATTAAAATGTACTCTACATAGTCTATGTTTTACTTTTTGTGAGATTCTGCCAAAATATGAGAATCAGAACGAATCGTAGTTACCCGTCACTCAACTCGGTGCATAGTTTGAAGAAAACACGTCTAGCGACCTCTATCTATATCTTAGATCGCTATATATATAGATGTCCCTTGAGGGTATGATTGACTGAGCGACAGCAATACATTTGACTTTGATGTGAAATCCAGCCAAAGTAATGGATATAAAAAGATTAATCTTTGAAATTGGTTATCAGCTAAGACAGATCGGAAATATAAATCTCGACTTTCGAATTCTCTCCCTTACTATATATATATGTGAGCATTTTTTTTTTTAATTTTTGCAAATTTTTACACAATTTCAATATGGTCGTACATTCGCTTGTACATCGTTGTGCTATAAGGTAACGATCATCATCAGCAGCTACGACAACTGCTTGTGCTAATTGTTAAGTTATGCAGACGTATTTAATGTAAACGCTGATTACGACGAATGCACACGCTGGCGTCAGTTACAGTGGAGGAGAAAAATTGTGTTACATTTTTAATCTCTTGAAACTCATTAAATTTACATTTCACCTGAAGGATATTCTATAAAAATGAATGCCATTTTATAAAACATACAAAGCGCACAGATAGTTATTCGCCCATTCGACTATCTCTGCTGGCTTTCCGGGATGATGCACAAACAGACACGCAACCGCACGACCCACGACCAACGTAACGTAAGAACAAGTGCAAAAGGATGGGACTCACTCTGTGAGATTGTGTGCCGGGATTAACATATTTACTCTATTATCAGGTTATCGTTGAACGTTTTAGTTGTCACCCTCTTCCACATACGTACGAAAGTACAAAATAACTAACTAACTATCTGACTGTGGCTGTCTATCAGTTCTTGTACTTGCTCGTAAATGTGTATTTATTATGTTCGTCTATCAATTTACTTCATGTGCACAATTTTCATTTAAACATTTATTTTACTGATTGCAAAATTGTTTTACATTTATATTTCAGTGCTTTCACATAAGCAACTTGTGTATGCTGTGTATGTCTGCTTAATATTTACTTCATTGAAAGCACGCATGCACGGACACATACGCATCCTTTTTATTTACCTTTTATTTCAGTTTTATTTTACAACTACGGTTTGAGCAATTGTCGTCGTTGTCGTCGTCGTCTTCGTTGTCGTTGTCGTTGTCGTCATCTCCCATGCAGTTAAAATGAAAACTCTTGGTGTATATGTTAGTCAATTTGCTTAAGTGGATTCGTAAGAAATCCATGCTTAAGTAATTTTTATGTCCCGCAGCAAGAAAAGTATATCAAATTCTTCTTTTCATATAAAAGACTCTGATATAATCATCGGCAATTTAATAAACTGCTCGCGTTTTACATTTCGAAAGAGGTTCTCAAAAATGTGGAAAATGTCGCTAAGGGAAATTCAAAACTCGCTTTTTTTTATGAGAAACCGACGAAACCTTTATGTCCTCATAATCTCAAGAAACCACACACGTAGAATATTTGATAATTGTACAGTGGTGCAATTAAGAATTTAAAACGGTCTTACGACTGCACAGATAGACACAGATTCTAAAGACACTGTTTGTTAACTACGGCAGAAAGATCAGAGATCGCTGATAATCCCTTGTCATGAGTTTGCGAATTAATTTGCAAATCGTTACGCACTGGAGTTTCATTGTTTGCGATTTAGCGAAATTATTTTTGAGTCTGATATAGAAATCGATATAAAATAATTCCCAGCTTTTAGAAGCTTAGCCTTGAAAGAAGAACTTTTTACTGTTTATGTAGGCAAGAGAATAATAACAAAATATCCGGTCTTCCTCGAGGCTTAGAAGGCAGGAAGCTAACTATAAATGTTGCGTTGACAAGAAAACTTCTTGTAAATGATGTTACAAGTGACAGCGTTCTCGTAAAGTATTTTTTTTATTTTTTTTGGATCTCTTAAAATAATAGAGAATACCACATTGACATCGCGAACTCAACGCGGCATCTTAGATTAATCCTTGATTAAAAACCTGGCTTTGGCTATGCTTAGCGCTATGACAATTTTTTTCTACCTTTTAAATCTACCCTTGACTTCTCAAATTAAGCGTACTCTACTCCCACTCTTTTCTTCTCATGGCGCCTGTCAAGCAAGACAGTGTATTAAAGTTGCTTTCCCGTCTCTACTAACTTGGATGCACTTAGCCTTGTTATCACACGTTTTGCTGAACATGGCATCACGTATCCTTGGTTTTTTTGAAATTCTTTTTCGGCGATCAGCGAAAATTGAAATTTTTACAAAGTCTTTCGACTTCAATCGCCTAAATTCCTCTTATTTCTACCACTGCGGTTGAAAGACGACTTGCTTAGCTTGATTGTGGATTGTGTCGTACCAGAGGTGTTGAAATCTTTTAATGACTTCACGAACGTTTTTAGAAGAATAACCTTCGAAGTCTATACTTTCTGCTTGTTTGCTCCTTATAACTATTACTACTAGTAGTAGTAGCAAATTTAGAGAATATAATCAATGGAGGGGCCACGGCCGTAATGTCACCTTTATCCGTCTTTAGCTTCTCCTTTTCTACATCTTCGGCGGTTCTAAGCCATTGTTGTGTTATTATTAGAATTTGTCTTTGTGTACACTTTTTTTAACGCCATCTAGAATAAGATTCAACGTCTAATTTCTGTTTTAGCTTTGTTTAATCTGAAGGCATTTGTTCCGCTTAAAGCTAAAATTTATTAAAACTCTTCCTTTTACTTTTTGTGGGCGAGTTGTGCTAGCAAATGTCAGCAATTTTACGGTGGTTCAAGAAAGAGCGAATGACGAATGATTTATGCGATTTAAGGTGAAATGAGCCCAAAAACTTTATTTTCAAACCAATATGGAAATCTTAAAAGGAAAATCGGACAGTAAAGCTGTAGTAACCTGAGATCCTTTACCTTTTCTATATTACTATAATTCAAGATATTCCTTTCTGTAATATTTTAATTTACGTCTCTCTTCATATAGTCATTAACAATTATACCAATTTCTCATTTAGTAAATTACAGTCACAGTCACATCGAGACGCTTATAGTTTTCTTGCTTGTAGAATGTTACGAGAAGCATGACAAGTTACTTAAGCTTTTATCAAATTTTATGTAAAATAAAAATTGAAATTTTTTTCTTACGGGTTGATAGAGAAACTTGCTTGCCAAAGTGATGGTACTCGTCTAAGATTTACGCTGCAGCAAAGTGCTTCGTAATAATATGATATGAGCACAAAGTAACACCAACATCACACTAAGTTTTTGTGAAATTACGCGTTCTTGGTAACCATATGAAAGATTGTAATAAATTTTATGAAACGACAAGTCATTATGTCAAAATGTTAGGAAGTTTCGAAAGGTGTGACCGTAATGGCAAATAATAGCAAAAGCAATGCAAAATGTTTAACATGTTTTTCGAAAATTTTAATGTATTTTTAAAGCCCGAAAACATTTTTCAAATTTTTTGTTGTAAATACACTAAAATGTATGAAATAATCTTAGAAATCGCAATACGAATAATACGTGCAACATGTTCAATGACAATCGAATGTTAGTTTGGCGCTACACGGATTTCATATTTCCATGTTCTACCCAAATTCGAAAAGGGGAGGCCAAGAGAGAAACATAGAAAAAATAAATGAAAAGATGAAAGAACCGAACATACTTGAGTATATAGGAAAAATTGGTAGATTACTAAGCAGTCTAACCCGTGCAGGTAATCTGATGAGCACTGCGAGAAGGAGAGCAAAAAGAAGCGCAGCTGAGTTGGAATATGGGGGCAACCTGATCGGCCTGAAGATATATGTTGGGCGGAAAGTTGGTAAGTAAGGGTTCTTGTCGAGCCAACTTTTATTAAGAACTCATCGGCACGATGTAAATGCGTTTCGACGCACTGCTGAATTGAAATTGTTTATTGCGTGTGTGGCTGTACACACATAAAAACTGCCCTAAGTTGAGCTCAAAAATTGCCTGAATAGTGAAGTGTAGGCGGACAGACTGCTACCTTACATATAATTAGAAGTTTCTTTTTCACATTCAATTCAACTAACCGACTAACCGACAATAGGTAGATCGAGAAAACTAGGTTCCGTTGTTAGCATAATGCTTCTCGATATATATATATTTTCCAAGAATTTTTACGAAAAGCGAATTTCGATTTTTTAATGACTAATGAAGTAAAGTGATGAGACCATGTTGCATGTAGTCACTAGGCAAGGGAAGTTGCCAAACTTCCAAAACAATTGATCCTGGATTTAATGATCGATGTGTAAGAAATGCATGCCAAAAGAACGATGATAATAAAATAAAAAATAATGGAAGAAGACTATGTCAGCGAATCTTAAATATTAAATGTAATCATAATCTCACACTTGTTAACAGTTAAGAGTAGAAAGTAGAGTAAGTGTATAAAGTTTGTGCATATATTTGAAAAAAATTGCAAAATATATTAAAAAAATTCTTTGCAAATAGAAAGAAAATTTTTAAAGCGAATGAAATGAAAAACTATGTTAAAGCTAAAAAGTATGTGAGCTTAGTCGGGCAGAGTGAGTACTTTATTTATTCATTATCGCATTTACTTCTTGTGTACTTTTATATATATCACATTTTATAGTGATGCGAGAAAAGACAGACAGTTGCTTTTTTCGCATTTGCTTACAAAGCACAAATAAAATAATAATAACAATAAAAAAAAAAAAAAAAAACAAAAAGCAGTAAGCAAATGGCAGAAGAAGTTGCAAATAGAAAAAAAGAATAAGAAGCAAATGAAAACAGTTGAAGCCGAATGAAAAACAAATGCTTTTTGCAGAGTTACTGACACCGAATACATACATATGCATATATATATATATATATTCTACATATTTTATTATGCTTTTAAAAACGTTGACACACACACACACACACACACACACACCGAGATACATACAACCACAGCCACACACCCCATATACGCATATAGACGAGTCCGTAGAGATAAGTTGTTAGTTGTACCGTCCATCATCATCATCATCGTCATCATCGTCGTCGTCGTCATCATAGTAGGAGGAGATAGATAGACAATGATCTATGCATGAGAGTGCTGCTGTCGGTTGATATTGTAAAAAATTCTCGTAAGCCTGCAGGCGGCATATCCGTCATAGTGCTGTAGTTCCGCTTAAAAGTTTTCAAAACTTTCGTTTACAGCGCAATGAGTTTAGTTTTTTGGTCGGTGGTATTATATTTTTATTTTTTCCTTCTTTTGTGTTATTTTCTATTGACTTTACGATTTTTGTTTAAATATTTATTGTGCATATATTTATCTATTTTATTTATTTATTTTTCGTTGATCTTTTTATTTGTTATCCCAGGATGAACATTGTGACAGTTTAATGTTATTGTCATCAAAAAAAAAAAAAAAAAACAAACAAACAAACAAACTTCCTTTAAACAAATAATTTAATTGAACATTGAAGAGGTCGCAGTGTTGGTATTGTTTAAATCGTTTTCGTTCAGTGTTTTTCTGAGTGTGTGTGTGTGTTCAATATTGATTGATATTAAATGCGGAAACAATTTTATAGAATAATATTTAACATAGGATAGAAGCAAATTTATACTTTTACAAACATACGCACACATAAAATCTAGATAATAGAGATTACAGTAGTAATGAAGAAGATCGTTGCAGCTGAATAGAAGAAAACTTAGGATACAACATCGATACTAAAGTTAAGTTAAAGTTAAGTTTATTAACTTTAACTTTATTTTGCTTTCTTAGGTATGATTTTGATATTATTTTGTTGGAATGAAGTGTGTCGTTTAGCGTAGGGTGAATAATATTTTGTGTATTTTAATAGCACAAAAAAAGTTTAGATTAGCTGTATAAAAACTTTGAAAGAGGTGTTCATTACGTTGAGATAGATATTCGAAATATTAATAAATAAAAGAATGCATAGAGGGATATATATATATATATACATACATATACATATATATATATATATATATATATATAAAGTGAACAATTGTGAACTTACTTGTAAAATCATCCAGCTCTTCTTGCTCAGCCTCGGCAGCTAATTCTTCTGGTGTTTTCTTACGCCGCATTAAAGGATTCGGTTCCTCTTGCGGCGCCATTTCAACTACCTCTTCCTTTTTCTTAATGTTGTACTAAAAAAAGTGAAATGAGAAGAAAACAAAAAATTACTTTCTGCAACACTAACGCATCATTTATTCCCCCGAAATCGCATTCCCTCTTAAATCGACTTTTCTTTCTTGCCATCTATTAATTGATTACATGCTCTGATAGAATATTACTTTTTGTGACTTTTGCTAGACATTGCCCCCTACTAATTCTTTGCATGCTATCCAGATGCATAGAGAATGGGTCAAATTTTATGCGATAGCAATACACTTTAACGTTTAGCCAAGTAAGATCCAAGTCTCCACGACAATAATAATAATATAATAAAAAAATATGTGTCCCATTATCCTACAACACACATAAAACCTTGGCCTTAAAGGCTTGTTCGCATACCAGTTTCATTTCGATTTCACTAATTTACAGTATAAAAGCAGAATCAGTTCCAGACACTTAGCCCGTGCTCGCCGTCAAGAACCAAAAATTGTAGAGAGATTTATTAAATCTATTACTTGAGTCATCTCTTTAAGAATTTTCTGCAACTATGCACTAGAGTAGAGGTAGAGCGGTAAGGGGTTCATTAACGAGAAAGATTGGGGTAACGTTCGATTGATTGAAAATGTGAAATGGATTTCGTTTTCCTTTTACTTTTCTTCAACTTGAAAGGAAAAGAGTAAAGTGTAGGAAATAAATCTTCAGAGATATATTCCGGGACATATTCATCAGTTCATTTTGCGTTATATGAAAATATTTATATTGTATTCATTTTGCAGTTTATTTAAATGAATTTGTTGGTTCACGTTAATTAATTCAAGAGCTATTTAGTAATAATTTATACAAAGTTAAATTTTAATAGATTTCATATTTGTATACAACAAAAGATGCCGCAAAGAATGCCGTTTACACACTGCACTGGTATTACTATACTCGCCATTGAATGCATACATATAAATATTGTCCAACACTCTCTCTGTCATTACATATGAACAACATTGTCTCACCGCAACATTTTGTTAATTAACTCAATAAAACTTAAATTAATAGCCACAAATGCGTAGAACGGTAACTCGGTGGATGGTAGCTGTGTGCATGTATGTATGCATACAGCCATCTACTCTCCTCATATATGGCAGTTGTGTATGTGCACACATATATTAAGTTGACTGTGTATTGCATAGTTTAGTTTATTGTTCAATGTTTCATGTATGCGAGGCAAACTTGCTGAACGTCCGCTTGCAGTGGTAATGGTCATTTATAGTTGCTTGGTGCACGCGGACACACTGTATTTATACGCTGTCGAGTATGTGTTCAATTTAATGTCCCTAAGTACATGTAACACTATTTATTAGTTGTCTTTGATACACACAGTATATGTTTGAGTATATGTTTGCCGTTTGTGTGATTACCACTAAATTATATATAAATAGCGATGCAAAGCACATACGACGCGTTCATAATGCTCCGTTATTTAAAGTTTTCCTGCTCACATTAAATTTGAACAATATGAGTAACATGTAATAGACATCGAAAAAAGAGGTGTGTACGGTTTTTCTTGCATAGGCGTGTGGACGTTATAGGCGTAAGTTTGCTAGTTTTGAGTGTATAACGAATGGGTCATTGTCTACCTCCACTGCAGCTTATTGCAACCTATCGCTTATAAATCATTTGTTAAAATACTCAATAATATCGGTCCGATGTCATTGATATACATTTGCTAAAGGTTTGTCTATTGCGCGGACTCCCTAAAGAATATATATATTCGGTCTATCTGTGGCTTGAAATTTCGACCACAATCATCTTGAAACTTTATATTAAGATAAATCGGAGGCTTTCCATCGTCAACTGACAGCTTCTGAGAGTTTTCCTAAATCTTTAGATTAGCTCGAGAATGTTAGGAAATCGGTTGCCGCGTAATAATTGCGTAATAATTCTCAGTAAGTTGTATGCGAAGCGCGGCTTGAAAAATGCATAATAAACGACGTACACGAGTTGAACTTTTTTCTTTTTTTAATAAAAATATTGTTTTCCATTTTGATATGCTTTTACACTTTTGAAATAAATATAATATATATACATATATATTTTATTCAGTTATTAGTATGTTCAAGTGTTTAAAAGAGAAGAAAAAAAATAAAATATTTGGTACTTGTTTTTTTTTTTTTTTCTTTTTGCTTTCATTTCACAACCGAATGAGTCTAATTACACTTTTCGAAAACTTTCTTTTTTGTTGTTTTTCATAGCTCGCTCTGCTCTATGAATTTATTATTTTTTAGATTTTCCGAAATTCTTGTTATCGTTATCGCTTTTTTAATATGTTCTTGATTTTTTGGTATTGTCGGCAAATGACGTCACAATGATATCGTTGTTAAGCTCAGCAAGTAATTCAATCTGACTCCGTTAGGGAGTCGCTCAGTTAAAAAGGACTCCCTACTAGAGTCAATTTGAACTGCAACTGAATTGTAAAGCTACACTCGATAATATATAATAATAAAAGCAGTGAAAAGGAAATTTTACTTTCAAGCCAATCGAAGATCCGAGTTACATCACAAAAAGGCATCGAATTTTTAACAAAAACTTTCTCGTTACGTTTTTTATCCGACATGAAGACCGTATTTTTGTTTATGTAGATAGTTTTTGTTTGAACTTTTTTAATTTTTTATTATTTAGTGTTTCATAAACACTAAATAATGTCACACGTTGATGGTTTGCTTTTAAATTCCTTTCGGCATTAAATTTTGCTTATTACACAAACAACTATTTGTCGCAGTTCCATGTTTTTCACATAGTTTCACTTTACGTTACGTCAGAGAGTGCTGTTCGTATGCATGTGTTCGTGGACGTTTATCCTCATAACTATTGTACACTTGATTGACCCGCAAACTTTTTCGAAATGAAAATAATTTATTAGATTCTCTCCAGTCAAAGCTTTTGAAAAGAGTAGGGCAACAACAATAAGAAAAACAAAAAAAGGAGGTGTGAAAAGTCCTAAAGCGCAAAAAATAAATCAGATTTTTGTTTACTGTTTCCGTAAACATGTCATGTCGAAAGGCAATTTTCTCTTTTCCTATATTTTTTATTTTATTAGTTTGTTTAGCGCTCTTCTCAGACCAACAAAATATTTCCCAATTGATAACAAGGGCTTGTGCAGAGCCTTTCTATTGATCTGAAATGTTGTCCCATAACACTGTGATGAACATGCGTTCAGCTCATCCTAGCTTTGCAATGGATGCTAGTCTATGGTGGCGTTACTCAATGGCCTGTTAACAGGTCTATCGGATAAGGACGCTCACTAAACTGCTTGACGTTTCTATTACATTACCAGTAACAATATATAATAGAGCAAAAATAGGAAAAATCGTTTCGTCCATTAAGGTCCGTCTTCAAGGCAGTTGAAGTTTGCCAACAAAGCAGATTTATGTACCTAGCATTTCGATCGAAGGAATGGATTTCCTTTTATAATAATTTTGTTTACATTCTTTACTAGCATAACATTTCATAGGTTAATTAATCGGCTCTTGGGATGAATAGCTTACTTACCTTATCACGTATATCTTGTCTCATCTTTTCACGTTCTTCTTCCATACGACGATGCTTCTCCTTGCGTCGTTCTTCAGCCTCACGAATGGCCTCCTGACGCTCTCTCTCCTCCTCTTCTGCCTTTTCCTTATCATCCTCGCCATCACCGCCATCACCACCTACGGCGCCTGTGTATGTGCGATGTGAAGAAGAAACAGAAAAAACCGAAAAATATTCAGTTCCAAAGGTCCCCAATGACAATCAAATAATAATAATAAATAAATACGTAGGAGCAGTGCAGGAGCAAACCATTGATTTTGAACTATTCCTTATATGCTTTCTAATGCTTATTTTCATTCAGTTCAGTCAATATGCTTTGTTTTGTTGTGTTTTATTTGGACAATTTTAATGCATTCGTTTTGGTAACGATTTGGGTAATTATTTATTTATTTGAATGCCATATCGCATTCTGCTAATTATTATTTGCGGCAAATGACATTTACACTTTGTTGTGGCTATATACTAGTTTATATAGTTATAATTGCTATTGTGGTTTTTTTGTTGTTGTGGCGGCCTTTTTCATTACGAGTCCCTTTAAAGTTGGCCATTTTTCATCCAGGCCATCATGTTCCTATAATGGCCGATTAATAGCCGTTTAGCCGTTTAATTACGCACTTAGATTCTTGTCAGTTATTAACGAAATTACTATCGCAAGCTGATAATATCGATTTTGCTCTTTTCGAAATTATTTTAAAGCATAACAGTAACAGTAAATGTAATAACAAAAATAAATACCTGAATGTACTTTGATAACAAACAACACGAGAATATTTTCTTAAAATTTAAAGTTTTAAGTTTTTCTAAAAAATGTCTAACAAATATGCTACAAGTTTTCAAAAACAAAAGTAAATATTTTCTATATTTACTCGTTGGCCCTTGGTCCCTGAGAATACTTGTTTATATGTAATGTTTGTAATTTTTCTTTATTGTAATTTTTGATTCCATCTTCAGTGTAACGAGTAAACCTCACATGTAAAGACAATGGTACAATGTACAAAGATTTGTTTTGCTTCGCACCGAAAAAACAAACTTCAATGAACTTACGGTTACAGTTCTGCTCATGGAACAAATGTAGAATAAGTTTAATTAAAAAATTTGAAAAGTTCAAATATGAACAAAAAACCGTTGAAGAAAACTGAAACTAGACGTCTTAAAAAAATTGGAATTAATTTCAATTCCATTAGTCATAACATGTAAAGTTGTGTTATTGTGGTCTTTGGGAAATTTCTTATTAGAATTTAATTTAATATGTTATGTAAATAGATTTATTGTACTTTATGGGACTGTTTGTATGGATTACAGGAAAAATTCATTCATTTCGTTAATATTTTCTAGCATACTTTACGGTTCGAAAGGCATATTTTCAGTGGGACGGGACGTTCGAGACGTTTAGGTTCCATTGTGGTTTTTATAGTGTGTTTGCGCAATTACTTAATGTCAAAATGGTATTGACATTGATTTTAAACTCATAAGTTAAGTGCGTCCTAGAGAGGCAAACGAGAATTTAAAGTAGATGCAAAGTGCATTCTCCGCAAACTACAAAAGAAATTCTTGATTTACTTCGTATACCGTATATACTATACTATGCTGAGTGTATATAGATGTTTACTGAATTGAAACTAAAAAGTACCTTTCGGATGCAAAACATTAAGAAAAAATATTAAAATTTGTGTAAAAGAAAATAAAAAGCTTCGTTTGCCATGTAAAAATGTGGGTTCAAGGCGATACGAGAAGAGAAAGCACACAAGAAATCGTTCGCATTCAATTTACGTTTACGTGTTACGCAAAAGCTTTCCATAGGATCTACCCATTTCGATGCTTCATATTTGATTGTTCCTTTTCAAAGTTATTTCTTAATAATTTTTCCACAAATGTTTTTCTTTATATGTTTTGTCAACTTGCAAAAGTCTGTCAGTCACCATAAATGCATAGCAAGAATATTTGCAAATTAAGTAAATTTCTTGATTCGGTTATGGGACCAATGGTAACTTCATCATGAACCAAAACGAAACGAAAGAAAACGAATTTGTCGCGGTTGTAAGTTTTTCTCAGAAACTTTGCAGATGATTTCGCGAAACGATTATCTTGCATAACAGCAACCAATCTATAACAAATTGCGGTTCATTACCTTATAAAGGCTTACTTTTCAGAAGAATACTTGACCAACGTAGTCCAAATTTCCTACACAGCTTGTATTTTGTCACAAGTCGTGTTTTTTGCAAGAGCGCTTACAAAAGAAGACTGTCATCCCATGCAAGTTTTATGCATTCGCTTGATATACCAAAATGCTTTCGCCCAACAATCCTTGTCGGGAATTTTTCGCCTCTGTTAAGACGACTTTTTGAAATTGTAGGGAGTGGTCGTGACTAACGTTGTTGGTACATACAACTTGAAATAGTGACCGGTCTACGTCGCAATTCAGCGTGAGTTTCAAAGTTCCCTCTTACATGTGAATAAAAGTGAGTCAGTTTCTTTTTCCTACTCACTTAGCTCGATAGCAACCGATTTCGGAGGATAGAAGCGTAAAAAAAAGAAAAAAGTTTCCTTTTTGTGGCATGCTTTTATATCGTAAAACGTAAAAAAGTGAAAAAGGTTAGCCTAGCATATATCTATATATATATATAGCTATATAATCATTGGAAGACTTTGCCCTTATTTCATATGAAACCTTCCATAAAATGCTGAAAATGTAGAGAATTTCTGTGAGAAAATAAATTTTCATTTAAATTTCAAAAAGCTGGCAAATGGTTAGTGTGTGTAATCCTGTATTGAAGTTTAATTAGGTCCCTCTCTCTGCTTCGCTATTAGCCGAAGCACTATTACTCGCTTCCTGCAGGATATTATTATTCATTAAACATAAACAAAAAAATCAGAGAAAGAAAAAGTATTTCTCTTGAGTAAAACATAAAATAGAGCAAAAAATTCCATTTCCTTACAAATGCGTTGAATAGAATTAAATAACAGCAGAAAAATAAAATGAAATTTTTTTTGTTCTCCAAAATAAACTCGAAATGGTACGTAGACTAAAGCGCATTATAGAAAAATAGAATAAAGTTTTGTGAATAAAGTAAATCATTAAAAAAATTGAAACAAAAGAAGGTTGAAGATAATTAAATTAATATTTTTTTCACATTACATAAGATTTGTTTCATGTCAGCGAATTGTATTCTATTAAAAATCCGATTTACATTTGTATAAAGACCTAATTAGGTATTTAATGCGGCCGTAGAAGTCTCCTTTCACTTTATGCAAACTCGTGAATATAGAGCCGCTTATGTTACAAGGCACGGGCGAAATTTATCTGAAAATTTACTGTAAAAGCATTTGTGATGCGGCAAGTATATGGATTGGTTGAGACTGGTAGCCACTGGCGATTAAAAAAAAATATATTTTTATTACACACTTGAAGCATTCACTAAAAAATCTAAATTGATGATAACAGCAAATTGGTCAAGACTGTCATAATTTGATTTTACGTTGGCTTTGGGGTGACTCTTCGATACCCTCCACCGTAGTTATTGCGAGGTACATTCAAATAGGGAGTCGATCAGTCGACTGGTCGGTACAGGCACTACAGCCTGCTTTACCGCCAGCACAATGCTGAACGCTGCTATTGCGAAGTTTTTCTCACTACACTCTATTTCCACAAATCTTCGCCTATTGATTACGTACTTTAGCTGCTTATTACTCCCATTTATTTACATAAGCGCTACAATAGGCGGTAGCGAAAGTATAGGCGGACATGTTAAGCTAGTATCGCTTTCGTGCGTCCTGTTCTTATGTGCTATGCTCATTACGAATTTTCGCTACGAGATATCGCAACACATTCCCAGAACACGTGCACGTGCCATACCCAGGCATATGAAGCTATCACATCGATAAGATCTGATACGTAATGAAATGTTGTTGAAGTGTGCAGACTTTCATTAGTTCGTTGCGAAAGCATTGAAAGGTTGAGAGAAAGGGAAAGACCACCACAGCGAAATCTTGTATAAGGAGAGCGAACAAAAACGAGATATTTCTATAAAAAGTTAATCAAAATTCATACGTGATCGCATGAGCTTGCAAAAGATGTGCAAGATATGGTAGTGGTCTGTTTTAAGATAGAATAGAACGGGAATAATCAACGCCAGTGATATACATGTGAAATGCTTTACTGACCTTAACCCTTGCTTATCATTTAGTGGAAGAGTAATCAACTGTTTGGTTGTAGTAGTGATTTCAAGATGCGTTTGTAGTTGAGTTTAAATGTTAATTATACGCACATTGGAATTTAATTTCAAATTGATTGAGACATTAGTATAAAATTAGATGTGCGAGGAAGCACAATGTACAATGTAAATGAAAACGATTGAAAGGAGGGAAAGAAAATTTTTATATGCTTAGTTATTAACGAAACCATTTGAATGCATAACCATTTCAATTCGCGTTTGAATGGATGGAAAAAGAAGGCAGAGCCAGAGAGAAATCTAAAGCCAAATAAGAAAATAGCATAAAACTGCATAATACCTCGAACCTTGCCATATCAAAGCAATAGCGATAGCAATAGCACTGGCAATAGCAAAGCATTGTAATGCAAGGGAATATTATGCAGAGTTAAATGCAAATAAAGGTTTTAAACGGAAAAGAATTTAATTTAAAATTCAAAACCGGGGTCGAAAGAAATGCGGAAGTGAACGTTTAAAGTCTTTGAGCAAGGAAAGACCGCAATAGAACGATAGCAGAGAATAAACTATCATACGCGAAAAGAAAACCAAACCAAACCAAACCAAACAAACACCAGCAATAATAAAAAGGCAGCATAAACATTTTAGTGGTTCCTGAGTTGATTGTTATTACAAAACCAAACAATACGTTTAATGCTCAGCAGTGAACAAGTGCACAAGTGCAACATAAGAGCACTGAATTAAAATTGAAAATTGAAAATTGAAAATTGAATATTTCTGTGGTTCTACTTACTATATATCTATATAAATGAAAAGTTGTGTGAAATCGTTTAAAAATTGCTAAACTATGATTTTCAATTACTTTAAGTTAACGTGCTTAACTTTTGTCGTTGTCGTTGTCTTTGCGCATCTGGTTGCCGGTAAAGGACAAATCGTTAATATCAATCATGCGTTGGTAAACGATGTCCTACATTTCACATATGGCCTCGAAGAATGGCTGGACACTAGCCAGCAGCCTTGTGAGAATTTTTATGACTTTGTCTGTGCACGCAGCGCGAACAGTTCAGAGGCTCAGCTGGATAAACGTCATCAACAGGAGCAATTGAAATTCGATCAATTCCTGCAGGCAGACGACAACACAGACCAACTTATGGATGCCGAGTTAAAGCTAAAGTACTTTTACCAATCATGTCAGAATGCACGCAGCGCAGAGCATTTGAAATCTTCGCTCATGTATCGCCTAGCCGGAGGCTGGCCAGCGATTGACATTGAAAATGCAGGAACAGTGCGTAAAAGGCGCAACATGACTTGGCTGCAAGTGTTGGGTGTTTTTCACGAAGCCGGTGTACCGTACTTCTTCAAAACGAAAATCGAATTAATTTCTAATAGACGTGTAGTGCAAATTCAACCCGACGATAGTATGCGATTCAGTTTAAGAAAATTTGAACAAATGGCTGGTGAGGTAATGCAAAGCTATGACGTAGAGGCGGGACGGGCCCGTTTAATCGCCTTAGAGGTTTTATCCTTCGAGCGGGCGTCGCGTGACGTCATGAAATTGACAACCGATACTGCTCGCGAAAAGAAAGATAAAGATAAAGTACAAGAGTACTTTTATGAAGATTTTAAAAGTTCGGCTTTCGGTCCCCAATTGCAGCTCGATTGGGATACATATTTTCGTAAAGTAATGGGTAAACCATTGAAATCGTCAGATTTAGTTTTCGTTGGCGATGTACCAAAATTGAAGGAATACTTTGGTTTGCTGCAAAATACTACAATAACGAGATTTTTAAATTGGCTATGGATTGATTACCTAATGGGTGAGTGGACACGACAAATGTGCACTTGAAAATCGCTTATCACTAGTGTATTCGATTAAATGCTTTCGTTTTTCAAAATTTTAGACAAAACCGTTGAAGATTGCCAGCAATTATCGCAAAATTATTTCGCTCCTCTTTATCAACATATTGTGGAACGTTCCGCTTTGAATAAAGTACAAATGGCTCAAATGTACAACGAATTGGGTCAAGTGTACGAGCAATTACTCTTGCATACGCCCTGGATCGACGAAATCACTCAAGAGTTTTCCCGCCTATTTTTGGGGCGTATTATGCACTTGACTTTGAACGGTGACGCAAAATTAGACGACGACCACGATTGCTTATCTATAACGTCGCGTAACTTTTATCGCAATTTGGAGAAAGCTCAACGATTTTTGGCGCAGAAATCTAAGCAACAACAAAGTTTTGGGGACGGCAAGAAATACTCAAGCACCCCAACCACTAGATCTAGAGTAACGCAAAGTTCTGAAGAGTTTATGAAAATCTTTCTCATTACCAATGGATTACTGAAGCCAAATCAAAATCTTAGCACGCCACTGAATTATTTACTGGTCGGCGAACAATTCTCCGAGATGATGATCGGTGGCGGTAGTCTATCAACTCCGGGAGCTTGGCGTAGCATGGATTCGGAACCGCAATTTGCGAAATTCGATAAATGCTTAACGAGACAACAACAGCAACGCAACAGACAACTGCAATTACAAAAGCAACCAGTTTCGGTTAATCAAACACGAAATTTCAATTTGAATGACTTGATTTTAAAGACATTAGCTCAACAGCAAACCTGGCAGGCATATGACCATTGGTTACGTCGGGAGGGCTTCTTGTCGGCACATTTGGATTCTCTTTTGCAGGCTGGTCGCTTAAAGATGTCGATGCGTAAACTTTATTTTGTAGTTTCCACGCTGGTCGACTGCCAACGCCATCCCCAACCCACGAGGCGCGAACTAATACACTCTTATCTAAGAAATTCTTTCGAATTCGCGCAGACATTCAAATGTCAGCGCCTCGATCCATTAAATGCCATAAATAAATGTAAAATATTGTAAACGAAGAAAATTAAAAAAAAAACAAGAAAACGAAAAAGAAGGAGAGAAATTAAAGTCAGGAATCTGGTACCTTGCATCTTCTTTCGTAATTCCGTTAAAATTTCAGAAATTTTGATATCCTTCTCTCTGCACTTGTAATCGTTAATAGGAAAACTAAAATTACGCTTGAGCTTAAGAGCTTCTAAAGCAAAACGTACAACAAGAAGCAGTCCGAACAGCGCGATTAACGGTTATCAAATGAATACACAGGACGTAAAAGTGAATCTGTCTTGGCGGTTACTGTTGAGCTCAATGATAAATAATTTCACATTATTGTTGTATATATAAATTCTATTAAATATTTATCAATTTTCATATTGTTTTCCCCACAAAGAATAAATCATTAAAACATCAAACCACACCTTTCCACCCATTTGTAATGACGAGAAACGGACGATGCCCCCGCCCCAAGTAAAGTTGTTTTGATAATAAAAACAAAATTTCCTTTTTTTTGATAAAAGACTAACGAAAGGGTTGGTAGGCCAAACTAAGACAATAGTTAGTGCAGTTAGCCATCCATGTTAGCCGATAATGACGAGGTCAGGCGGTGCGTTACGTTTGTCATTCGGCTTGTCATTACTAAAAGTATGGAAAACTTTACATTTACATTATCTTCCTCTAAAGTAGAGCCTAGAGCGGATTTGCACAATTCAACACCACCTTGTAATTTTCGTTATCACTGTTTATTGATAGTAAGGTGAAATGACAATTGAGCACACATTCGAAGGTGTGAAATATGCCAAAGTTGACAATTACGATTTGAATAGACGAACAAGGAAACAGACCTACGGACATACAGTAGGGCAATATTCAGGGTCAACTCTTTCCTCTGGATATATACTAAAAGAATCGAAATTCCAATTTGAAAACAAAAGAATACTTTTAACAACATTTTCATAGTTCAAATACTCGTTCATCGGCTTGGCTAAGAAATATTGACACGCTTATCGATGGTCCCCGAAAGTCGCTCAAAATCGAAATTTATTTTTGCACCTTTGTTCGGTATTGATTTTCCATTAAATAACAATAAGTTGTCATAGCAATTGCTTTGTGCACATACTCAACCACTCATCTCCTTCATGTAAGCTTTAATAGCCTTTAATAAAAGGCTTCTGTAAAAATAGCTTCTAATAAACGATAATTGCTTCAAATAAACTTAAACGCAGTATGTGAGGTTAATTGGAAATGCCTAAAAATGACATTTCAGTTGCGATACGTAATTACAGCCAGAGGGATTTTTTAGTTACGTTTAGTAAAAATTTAATTTTGCGTATTAAAGAGAAAAAGTTGCAATTACGCGATATATGTATGTATGTATGTAAACTTATAATATTATGTAATTCTTTTAATTTCATCCGACATCTTCTTTGGCAGGTCCTTGCTGACGTTTCCAAAGTAATACGGCGTGGTTTTGCAGCGAGAACGAGAATATACTTTAGGCGTTCGATCGTAAACGATCAAACAAGTAGATTGACACAAGCTTCAAAACAACATTTATGGTAATGCCCGCCTTCATGCCCACTCGCCTTTCCAACAACATTTAGACCTACATTTTTATTTTGTTCCCGTTTTACTTCAAGTTCGACTAGTCCTACTTTTAATAAAAATCTACAATAACAGGTTGTATGCCACTGCTGCTTTATTGCATCCTTTTTTCTGTGTCGTCCTTCATATAGATCCCGTGGCATACTTTTTCTTCGACAATAGTGTCATATATTAAATCTTTCCTATCTTTCCGTCTCAAACCTTTTCTATTAACATTCAAATATCAATTTTAGTCAAAGTAAGAATATCGTTCCGTGGCCGAACCTATGGCTTTTCAAGCTGAGCTTAAGACTGCTGCCAATGAATGAGAATCGCTTGAATGGTTTGTGAAAGAAGAGAAGCTCGCAAAGGCGTAGGGGATTGATTATAGTCGACATCCAGTAGGTTTCGTTTAAATCTAAATTGTTACGCAACCTGATGGGGAACAGGGAAGACGTTGGTTTGCCTAAATTCAATTTTCATGCATAGATCGCATGAATGGGCAAACTGGATCAGTCAAGGAAAAACGGAACGGTGTGAAAAGGTGAACAAATTAAACAAAAAGATGTATATTTCAAAGATATTACGTAATTCTGTTGCGGCATTACCACGAGCTCCTTATAAATGCCTATTGCGACGGTCTCCGGTAGCAAAAAGAATAAATTTGAAGTGAAAGCGATCGTACCACAGTGAGAAGGACAGCTCCCACCACCAAGCTGTCGATGTTGTGTTAGAATGAGAAAATGTGTATGAACTATTTCCTCGTTTCTGGGCAAGAGGTTGCTTGTCTACACCTAGCGCCACCGCAACTTTGTGATACCTCAACAGAACTCAGCGAGCAATTAGGAATTAACTTAAATTCATCCTCTGATTAGGCAGCATAAGTGGTTGTTTACCTATAAACTCTTCTGTAACCCCTTCTAGAGTTGTCTTATTATACACGGCAGCCGTTTAACACGACATATTAATTTTCTAGAAAGTATTGATAGCAGAGCTCCGTGGCGATATGATAATTGCTTCTTTAAAGAATTGTTTATGATAATTTGATTGAAAATTGTCTGAAGGAAACCGTATCAAGGTACATATCGAATAGATTCTCATTAAAATATTTAAAATTTATAGCGAATGCATAAATGATTACATGAAATATAAATGCACAAAGAGAATAAAACAATGTATCTATCGCCTACGAAAAGGGCAGTCAATAACGAGATATTCCGCTTAATTCAATTTAGTAGTAAACAGTGAACAGAGTTATCCGCAACCGAATTGAACAAAAGCTTATTTCGGCAGAAAGTTAAGCAAAATATTAACTTGAAATCAGTCTGTCGCTGTGAAGTTGCTGACACCAGAATGTGGTATGTGACAGTACGAAATTATTATTATATTTAGTTTAAGAATAAAACATTAAACAAGAATCGCAACAGAATAGAAAATAATCAGCAGCTTATGTTCTTCTGAGACCAACACCGTTAAGAAAATCTAATAATTGGACGCAACGATTTCTTGTTTGCAGAGGAAGCTGCTATTAGTCTTTTGCTCGCTCGTCTCTACAACAACTCGACTCAAATTATTGTCACATAAAACTTAAAACAACGAAAAGAAAACAGGGATAGATGATAGATTCGATCCTATACTGGTGAACCCTACGATGCACAGATTTAAGGATCATAGAATCTAACACGACCAGGAAAACTGAAACGAAATTAGGCATTATTAGGTGAAATCTCCTCCCCAATCCATGCTGGCAAAAATATGTACAGTGTACAAGGCATGCTCCAGTGCGTAGCAAATTTCTAAAAAAAAAAAACTTATGGATAATAAATTTTACTGAAAATTAATTATTATTGAGTGGTCGTCCAAATATTTAAATTCATATTTTCATAATTAATTTCGTCCTTCCGTTATATTAACACGTTTTAATTTATTATTATGCAAATGTACTTTAATTGCAAGCTTTATTCATAGCACGTTTTTACAATTCTCATATTAATTTCTTTTCAAGAAAAACAAATAAAAAAAGGGAGAAAGTGGTGAACAATTATGTTATTGAAAAAATGAAGCATAATAAACAAATGCAATGATAATATACTACCACAAAATGAGCGAGTAATAATGAGCGAGAAAATTATTGGTAGTCTTATGCGAACTTCAGGCACTCCTCGCCTGAATCTGAGCGGCTAGGTACGCAACTCTGAGGAGGATGGGCAAATCAAATCTAAATTAAAGACACTTATATGCAAAATACACTATGTGTTCTCTCTTTTCACGTTTCTTTATCAATGATTACATGCACTTTTTGTCATATCTGCTATATTTCCGCCTTGTCACGGCTACTTCTGCAAACGAGATGATAAAGCAATACATGCTTAATGTTTCACTTAAAACCATATAAAGAGCAATTATTGTTGTTCGGTTATTGAAAAAAAAAAAAACCATTTAAAGAACACTTAAAAGCTTAACAAGAGATTTTTATTACGTATTCTGGTCTATTTTACTTTTAATCCTTTTTAAACCTGTAACGAAGGTATTAATTATCAGAGATGTTTGTTTTCAGCGTAAATAACGTTTTTTTTCATTGTTATTAAAAATAAGCAGATTTTAGTTTATACGTATTTGGCGGCGTATGAGTAATTTAGTGCAAATAGTCCACAAATACGATAAGAAATAAGTCGTCACAATACAGCTTACTTTATAATCCAGATGGCGAAGCGAATGCATTTCTACGAAACGCATGAGAATCCTTTTTCCTTACGAAAACGAAGGCCATTGTTTGCCTTACGCTCACCTTTTGTCCACTTTGTCACCCAACTTACGTGTAGAGACACATTCTGTTGCGATTTTTTCAAAACATTTTAAGATGCTTAAGAACGACACCCGATTAAAGACACCCGTTGATTACTGCACAGTAAGACGCTAACAAAGTCAGTTAATTATCATGTAACGAAGAAGTTTGGATTCAGAACTTTACCATAAGTTACATACATTCATTTACTTAAAGATGTTAAAATTAGAATTTCGTAAATGAAAGCACTTTTGCTAACTAGGTCTATACCTACAGTCGAATACCTTTTGCTTGTTCGATCGTTTTTCTCTTGTAATTCAACTGCCACTGCCCTACAAACATCCTATTCACTTTGCGTATTTTCGTCACATGTCTACCTCTCTTCTGGAAATTTAAAAAATGGATATGGGAACGGAATCGTTTTTACTTTAATGAAACTGTGGTGAGAATTGCTGTCTTTCCAACGAAACAAGACACAAATGTGGATAGCCAGCCTGCTGAAGATGTAGTCATTCTTAGCAAGAATGCTAGCAACCTTAGATAAACTTGTACAAGTTAAAAGGAACGGTGTGTTGTCTTTTGATTGCGGTGTTGTTATGTAATATGGAATGGAAAACCAATTTCATGAAATTAAAAATTGCTTTAGGGAAATTTCCTTAAATTTGCAAATCGAT